AACTGTCGACTTCCGAGCGGGGATTTCTACACGGGGCAATGGAGGGATAATATTCCCCATGGACATGGTAAGTATCTTTGGACCGATGGGTGTATGTATGTCGGAGAATGGCACAGAGGGAAGACGATGGGGAAAGGTCGCTTCAGTTGGCCCAGTGGTGCAACATACGAGGGTGATTTCAAGAACGGATACATGGATGGAAAAGGTATGATAAGGCTTCAATGTCGGGGTTTTTTTCTTTCCATTCCATGTTCATGTTTGGTTTTGGTTGTCTCCGTGAATAGGCGTGTCGGGGATTGACAATATCAGTCTGAATTTTAATACTTTGAGGCGAAATTCTTCCATATGAATGACGAATCTGCAGTGCTTGATCGAATGTTGAAAGCTTTTTGTGTTTGTGATGAAAGAGAGAAGGAAATTTTGGCAAAGATAGATATGTTTAGGATCAAAACTCGTATGCATTTGTAATCTGAACTGGTTTTCGCCTAGATTATGTCAAACGCTTGCCGCTAGTGATGAACATGGAAGATTACATTGAGAGGGGGTAGCATTTTCCAGATTGAATCTTGTGTCTCGATATCTACCTTTTTTGTTTCAGGGGTGTTATATGGAGGAACTTTATGACTTTTCTTTTTATGAATTTCATTTTAATCTTTGCTTAAGCCCTGGTGCATCTCTTGGGTTACAACAGGTACTTACATTGGTTCATCCGGTGATACGTATAGAGGATCTTGGGTCATGAATCTCAGACACGGGCAAGGAACAAAGAGCTATGTCAATGGAGATTGCTATGAAGGAGAATGGAGGAGAGGGCTGCAGGATGGGCATGGAAGGTACCAATGGAAGAACGGCAACCACTACATCGGTCAATGGAAAAACGGGATTATGAATGGGAATGGTACAATGATATGGAGTAACGGGAACCGCTACGATGGATTCTGGGAAGATGGTGCTCCTAAAGGTAATGGCACGTTCCGATGGGCAGATGGGAGTTTCTACGTCGGTGTTTGGAGCAAAGATCCGAAAGAACAGAATGGAACTTACTACCCTTCCGGTTCTTCTTCGGGAAACTTGGATTGGGATCCACAACAGGTGTTTTACGTCGATCTGATCGAATGCATTGTCAGCCAATGTGACAGAATCCCGGTGTTGCCTTCTCAGAAGATGCCGGTATGGTATGGGACGGAGCAGAGTGGGAATAGGGCAAAGAATGAGAATAACCGGCCGAGAAGGAGATCGGTGGATGGAAGGATAAGCAATGGCGAGGTGGAAATGAGGAACGGGTTCGGATATCTTCAGCTGGATGATTCGGTTGGGGCAGTGGAAAACACTAGATTAAGCCCTTTGAGGATACAGCCTCCTAAGAAGCAAGGACAGACCATCTCTAAAGGGCACAAGAATTACGATCTCATGCTTAACTTGCAGCTGGGAATCAGGTATATACATACATTCAGCAGTTTCTTCGGATCGAAGCGGATAAATTACGTGTCTTAAATATCTCGTTTTCATGGTGATTGATTGCCTGTACAGACATTCTGTCGGAAGACCGGCTCCAACCACTTCTCTTGACCTAAAGGCTTCAGCTTTTGATCCAAAGGAAAAGGTTTGGACAAAATTTCCATCTGAAGGATCCAAACACACTCCTCCACATCAATCTTGCGAGTTTAAATGGAAGGACTACTGCCCTGTTGTTTTCAGGTCAGTAAAAACCCGAAAAAACAGGACTTAGTCACCGCCCTTCACTTGCTCGGTATCGAGTTTGAGGGTTGATAAGAGTCTTGTATTCTCAGGACTCTGCGGAAATTGTTCAACGTGGACGCAGCTGATTATATGATATCGATTTGTGGGAACGATGCCCTTAGGGAACTGTCTTCTCCCGGGAAAAGCGGAAGCTTTTTCTACTTAACCAACGATGACCGTTACATGATTAAGACGATGAAGAAGGCTGAAACAAAAGTAAGTGTTTCCAACTGAATCCCGGGTTCTAATTTCCGATTTTTTTGTAATAAATGATCTGTTTTTACTCAATCCTGATGTGATAACAGGTGCTTATAAGGATGCTTCCGGCCTACTACAATCATGTCAGAGCATGTGAGAACACTTTAGTTACTAAGTTCTTTGGTCTTCATTGTGTGAAACTGACGGGCACTGCACAAAAGAAGGTTAAATCCGAAAGCCGAAACTATTTTCAGAACTTGTGTTCTTATCTATCTTTGTTAACCTTCCAGACCTCAGTTTTGTTCTGTACTGATGGAGGATGGCATATGTCAGGTCCGGTTTGTGATAATGGGGAACCTCTTCTGTACCGAGTATTCGATCCATAGGCGGTTTGACCTTAAGGGATCCTCCCATGGACGTTTAACGACGAAACACGAGTCTGAAATCGATCCAAACACGACATATGAAGCTGTTGTTTCGACGCTCAAAGACCTTGATCTGAATTTCATGTTCCGGTTACAGAAGAACTGGTATCAAGAGTTTTGCAGGTGAAAAATCCTCGATACTTTTATCGTTCAATGTTTCCCCCGTTACCTTCTCGATCAGTAAACCCGAAATCTTCCTTTTTTCGCAGGCAAGTCGACAGAGACTGCGAGTTTCTTGAACAAGAGAGAATCATGGATTATAGTCTTTTGGTGGGTATGCACTTTCGAGAATCTTCTTTCAGGGGTACGGCCACACCTCCTTCCGGCGCCCGAACTCCCACTGGTATTTCTCGTCGCATCTGATACTCATCTTCATGTATTCCGCACCCAAAAATACGAAAAAGATTGATAGGAAGATTGAAATAACTTCGCGATCTATCCAACAGGAAACGTCCCTCGTCTCTCCCGAGCAGAAATGGATCGGTTTCTTCTTGATGCCAGCAGGTAGAAGCGAATCCCGACCATTAAAATATAGATACATTTTACGTCTTTCATATTCAGTTCTCAGTCTTTCCGTTTGGACCGTTCAGGTTAGCGTCGATTAAGTTAGGTATCAACATGCCGGCGAGAGTTGAAAGAACGACAAGAAGAAACGACGGCGAGACTCAGCTTGTCGGGGAGCCGGCGGGGGAATTCTACGACGTGATTCTCTACTTTGGCATAATCGACATCCTCCAAGACTACGATATCAGCAAGAAGCTCGAACACGCCTACAAATCGATGCATTTCGACCCGACTTCGATCTCAGCCGTCGATCCAAGGCAGTACTCGAGACGTTTCCGGGATTTCATCTTCAGAGTCTTCGAAGAAGATACTTGATGTACAAGAAACGAACGGCCTTACCCTAGCTTGTCCGAGAAGGCAACGGAACTCCAGAGGATTTGGAGAAGGGAAATTAGGTTTCCGAGTTGACGTCAGTTGCAGAATTCAGCCAAAATTGACATGTTACCACAATTTATTACAAAAGAAAAGCTTCTGCAAAGAGGGTACAGGGTTTTGTTAGCACCATTAGAAAGTAACGGGGTTGTTTTGCAACTTTCACAAAGAAATGTTGTAAATTTAAGATTTAACCAAATTCTCCGGGTCTTTGTATTAATAGAGAGTTTGATTCTTTTTTTTTTGTAACAAAAAAGGTTATCGTTTTATTTTTTTTCTCCGTGTTGTTTGGATTCAACATGAAAGAACAGTATGTACATATGGTGATTGGTGACCTCAAGATCGTACCGTAACTATTTGTTTATTCAGAATATTATATTATTTTAATAGATTATTCTTAAATAATATTTCTCATATATCACTTTTTCCCGTAGTATGTAACGTCTACTTCCATTTTTTTTGGGTTTGGTTTTGTATTTCGAAATTTGTTCATTTGTTAATTTGCCATCACGTTTGCGGACCACTCAAGGACAGACGTGATTCCGACAAAACAGTGTATATATACAAATAGAGAAATTAAAAAGATAGGTTACAAACAGGGATAAAGATATATTACGGGTGCCAATTTTAACCAGAAACCCGAATCCTGGTCCAGACTTTAAAAATAACGGATTTTGGAATGAGATATTTAGGCCAAAAAAAATTTAGACTTTTGAATCGGACACAGATCGGTTTCGGATCACTCCGAAAGTCCATTTTGTTTTAAAGTTATTATAAAATAAAAAATAAAATTTAAAGAACAAATTTAGATTCTGCCCAAACTCAACCCCGAAGTTTAGAGGGTCAGATTTCGGGCTGGATGATTTAGGTCCGAAAAAAATCGAGTCAGTCCGAAACCTTCGGACCGAGTACGGGGTCGGACAGCCCGATTGACACCGCTAGATATATTATAAGACCGGGAAAAATGGTAAGGTACAAAGGAATTATAATAGGGATTGATAATTATGCAGAGTATATTCTAATCAGACGGCAAAAGTTTATATAATAAGTAAACATAAAATATGATACAATTTATATATATATGTGTGTGTGTATAAAAATTACCAAGGTTCGGAGTTGTCGGAGAGAGAGTTGTTGCGGTAAGAAGAAGCGCTGCTCCAGCCGTCCTCCATCGATATAAGTTTGAGACGGACCATCAGGTTATCCTCCGCCTCTTTTTCTGCAGTTTTCGTCACATCCTGCAAGGTTCTTCTTCTCCAGTTACAGAGAGAAAGAGATGGATGGATGGATCCATCGGAAGAAGAAACAAACCTCGGATTCCCGATAAAGCTGAAGGTATTGAAGCGATTCCTTGTAGAATCCGCAGTGGTAAAGAAGTACGCTGTAGTCTCTCAGCTCCTTCGGGTCGGTTTCCAATAGAATGAGTCGTTCGCAGGCTGCAGACACATGATGCCGTCGAGGGAATATGACAATGTTTCCAAAGTTCATATATTTATACGGAAGTTTTTCGAAAGCTCATGACTTGTTTGTTTTATGGATACTCCCTTTTAGAGAAATACCGGACAAAGCACATCTCATGTCCCCAAAGCGTATGTTTGTCCAGACACCGCGTTGCAGCCTATGCCGAGCTGCTTTTGCGGCTGCGAGCTGCGAGCCGCTGAAAACGAGACGAATGTCGGACCAAACAAACAAACCAAAAACTTCCTCGAAATCTAATCTTTCAACATTGCTATTCGAATCGAATGCAAAAGTCATATTACCTTTCGGCTGTGCTGTTTGATGGGCTGTCATAAGTGGCGGCTTCTGCAGCTCTTAGGAACAGACTCTTCCGAGGATCGTGTTGGAATGGCCAGAAAACACATTTCAAACTCTTTAAAGTCTGCCCGAAAAATAAAATTAGATCGGAATGTATATATTCAACGCTGCGAGTAAAAACAGTTGGAAATAGGGAATGCACCTCCTCAAGGAACCCTTGAACGGTTATTATATGTGACTGATCAGACTCTTTGCTTTTTTGCTTATGATAGCCTCTAGGGACAGAGAGTCGGTCGTGGGGGAAATATATCTCGACATCAAAATCAAGCAGACTCCATGAACGGAGCGTCTTTAGTATCTCCGTGTATATGAGAGAGAGCATCACAGCCGAGCCCATTCGGTGCGTCAAAACCTGCAGCAAAAACCAGTGAAAAGAGAGTGGTTTTCTTGATTAAGCAAAGATGTTTCTCGTTCAAGAGAATGCGGGAGCAAAAGCGTGATATAATCAAATACCGAGTGTAGATAAAGGGGTCGCAAATCCGATGGATCCACATCTGTTCTGTGGAAGGCCTGATCACAACCAAAAAAAGCAGTAATCCATTGAGAAAAGCCCAACTCTTGCAAATTCCATTGCATAGAGATTTTGATCATTGTGGAATCAGTAACCGTACCTTGTCAACATACATAAATGTCTCTATGCACTTGAGAAACTTCTCTGGTGATGATTTGAGGGAAGAACTGTAACTCCGCATGTAACTGATGACGAGGTCATATAACCTATCGACGAAAGCATCGACGGGGAGGGGAACCGAAGAATGGGACAGCAGAGCGTCATCCTCTGCCGCGATGAACAGAGCTGCTGTGGCCAAATCGACTCTCCTGTTAATGGCGATGCTGGTTTCCCTCTCGACACTGGTCAAGTTTTGTATCTGCTTCAGAAACCCTTGCCTGGCTTCCTGTCACATGGATTCACGGACAAAACCCATCAATTTGACACTCAGACAAAATCTTCATCTGACTCCATAATCGAACTCAAGAGTGCGTTGGTAAGAAAAAGGAAAGCGAATTTTAGACCCAGATGAGTAAGCAAGCTACATGGAAATAATTCATGGAACTTATTCCAGAATCCCCGCGATTAGAATTGGAGATTAAGACGGAGAAAACAGAAGATAATCACGAAATACGAAACATCGACCACGAGATTGAATCATACTCGGTTAATAGTTAGGCGGTAGCACAGAAGAGAATATACCGCAAAGAAGAGAATATATATAACCGCCATGAAATCGGATTGAAACGAAGCAGTACGTCTTATGGTTGTTTGCTTAACATACCCTAGCATGTACGGTCGCGACGCCGGAGGAATCGAGGGCACGGTGGAGAACAAAGTTCAGGTCACCGGAGACGGGAGATTCGCCGGCGCAGGAAACGCGGGAAAACGACGAAGACGATGACGCAGAGGAAGGATACGACGGCGATTCCGCGAATGTTGCGAGGCTACGGACGGAGGAGAGATAAGAGTAAGAGTGAACAGAGGAAGCGAGAGCTAAGTACGAAGGGCTCATAGTCTCCAATGGCGGTGATCGCCGGAGAGGGAGAGGTTGTGTTTTTTATATTATCTTTTTTAAGATCAGAGGGATCGTTATTTAATTTACGGCTGACTTGAACACGCTCCATCCACAAGATGTGTCAATAAAAAGAAAAAACAAATATACAATAACGAAGACTGTTTCATTTGAATAATATATAGTAACAGTATTTAAATCAAATTTAATATAAAATATCAATTGAAAATTTAAATTTGAATCGAATCTAAAATACTAGAAAACAATTTCTTTTTAAAATGAGTATATTAATAACAATCAAATATGAAAAGAAATGGAATTGAATCGGATCTAAAATTCGAACGGATATATATTATTTGTAAAAAATCAAATGGAGAATAATCCAATCCGTACCAAACCAAAATGCGAAATTGTCAGCCATTATGCTGGACCAATTTAGTGTCTTGATGAGAAAGCACTTTAATTGCCAGCCATCATAATTCAATTGTAGTTCAATTTGAAAATAATTTAAATGATGTTTGCATGAAAAACACCAAAAGAAATTAAATTTAAGCAAACGTTTATTAAAACTCTTGACTATTCAAAAGTAAAGTTTTATCTTGACCAAAATATCTAAATAAATATTTAATATTTTTTTTAAAAAAAAATCTATTTTAAAAACTTCAATCACATACAAATTCAAATAAAACTTTCAACTTTACAACAACATATAAAAATATAGCTTCAAGAACAAACTCATTTACAATAATCTGCAACTTCTTCAATGAGCATCTCGCAGGATGATATTTTTTTTTTATATTATGAAAATGCTAATTTAAAGAAGAGAAAAATGTTTTGGTTGGTTTGGTTACAACTTACAAGATGAAACATAAAGATTGAACAAGTCGGCGACTTACAAGATCAAATCTAACAGAAGACCATGTGTTTTTTTTCCCTGTCCGAGGATTACACAGATATGGTGACAACGAAAGCTATATAGATGACTATTCCAACAAACACATAATCGATCTCACATACCTCGTTTATGAGATAGGGATGTCAAGGATACGCCTTTTTTCCCGCTACGAAAGTCGCCACAACTGAAGCAGAGCCCTCTTTCGAGAATTCTTCCCATGAATCAGTCGACAGTATAACGAAATCTGCGAGTTTCCCGGGAGATAATGATCCCAAATATCTATCCAGAAAGGCTGCTCGTGCCGCCCCCATTGTGTGCCTGCGAAATTTACCGAGTTACTACTGCCGTTGCAAGGAGACATGTTAGTTATACCGGCTTGAAATCATGCACAAACCTTAGTAGTTTAATTAGATTCTGTTTGATTTTGTACATATGCATATCGATCCATGAAAGGCATTATTTGACCGGTTGCACATAAGATACGTCCATTTTGCGACCTTTTTTTTATATATATGATAACTCTAGAAGCGTAAAGTATCAGAGGTGCTTACCCAGTCAGAGCATCGGTCAGTGAGATGCATTCTGATGGAATCCAACCATGAGTCCATCCGGGGGGCGTCCTTTTCATCGCGGTTCTGATACTATGCAACGGGTTGATGTCTGCAACCTAGAGAGACGAAGAAGATAAGTTTTTTTTTCTTTTTTCTGAGTTTCAGTTAAATACAAAATTGATTTCTAATAACATAGAAGGTGTGGTACTAACAGGCCAGTCTGAGCCAAACGCCAGGAGTGCATTGCCAGACAAGAGAGAGTGGAACAGATACGACGACTTCTGAGCCCTGTCGGGACCAAGCTTTTTGACAGCAGAGTCTGCATCATCTAGCAAATGGTCTGGCTGTTTCATGAGCCATATGTATATGTTAAACTCCGAGGAAATTGGCTACAAATGTGTATGTGGCTGTTCGAAATGTGATGCATTTATGCTTAGCGTATGACAGATGATATGAAGTGACAAACCTGCACCGAGGCAACAATGTTCAGCTGACCAAACCGAACTGCTGATCCTGGTGCCAGATGTTGGGCATGTTCAATCTGGAAGCATTATATCAGTTTATGCGCAGATAGGCAAAACAAATTATCAGACCAAAGACATTGGGTAAGTTATATTTATGTGTTTTAGGCTTCTAGAATCAAAACCTTACCCTAAATCTTCTATCGCGCTCTCCATTGGTCGCAGCAACGGTTTCATACATGTCAAGGATCATGTCATTTGCTTTGTCGCCTATAGCATGTATAGCGACCTGGTTAACGTCAAAAAGGAAATCAATAATATCTAAAATGTTCTCATGTTGACGCACACGAATTTGAAACTAGTTAAACAAGGAAATACCTGAAGCCCCGATTTATCTGCTGCCATGGTCAAGTTTGAAAGTTTCTCGGGATCTGTAACTTGTAACCCATAATTGTTAGGTTCATCGGCGTATTCCTGCAGAAAAATGTATATTGTTGGAGATAAGTTAGCTGCTAAACATGGAAAATAAGATAGAATGAACAGTGTAATGTAGACAGACAAACATTATTATGCAGAATCCATGGATGATACAAAATATTTGTCTGTGAAAGGATGCCGCAGCATAAACTAGAAAGATTACATAAATCTAAATTCAGCAACTTGCATACCACAGAAGAGGGCTCCTTATACAGAATCTAATAATTCTTACCTCGTAAAAAAGTGCACTATTTGAACCCAGTGAGCCATCAAAAAATGCTTTGACACCACCCAGATACAACCATTCACTCAACGTCTGTCCCTTCTGATTAACGAAATCCTAAGAATAGCAAATCAACAAAGACAACCGTGAAAAACATGGCAATTAGGACAAAAACAGAACAAAATAAACACTACTCAAGCAAAGGCGACAAGAAAAAGGAGGATTTAAGGAGCAAAGAAGTCAAGAAGCATTGCAGGAAAAACAGAAAACTCCGGACGAAGTAATTTTGAATTTTTTTATATATATCATTTATAGATGATTATAACAACTAAGGAAATGGTACCCAGGATACTAGTGTAAATACAATTTGACATATTCGAGAACACACTCAAAGCATGTACAACATACTTGAACTACATGCTCATTATATTCATAAGGAAACACGAGTTTTCTAGAAGGACTCGTACCGATAAGCGTGACCATGTCGTGATTGGAAAAAACAAGCAAACCCTTATCATCATCTTCTTCGAGGAATCAGCCCATTGATAAACATCTATACTATGAAAATGAAAAGCTTATAAGTACTACAGAAACCGTATTTAACATAAATATGCACAAACTGACACATATTCCGGTCCTTTGTCATCATGTCAGACTTAGAATTTTTGTATGTGAGTGGCAAATAAGTATGAATCTCATGGCATGTCCCAAACTAGTCAATGAAATGATTTATTGCTGTTTTCTGAAGATTTTTACTGAGACCTGAAAAGTCTTCCCAGGACAGCTCATCTGTAGTGCCAGGATAGTATCTTCCCACATCAATAACAGTCGTCACCCCTCTTGCCAATGCATATTTGCTAACTCTAACAAGAGCTTCCCTACGCTGATTCACCGATACTTCTGGAATCCATGGGGATACAAGCTCCATTGCAGCATCGATCAAAAGACCTGTTGGCTCTGCATGAACACACAAATAGATTTGAAACAAAAGGGTCCAACATATATTAGCATATACACATCACATAGAAATCTGTGTATACAATTTCAACTATTAAAAATATGAGCACAAGTTTTTGTCGACAAACAAAACATAACATTATGTGAAAATATATTGGCACGTAAATGAACATTACCACGACTTGATGTTCTCATAATTGTACCACCAAGAGGATCTTCAGTTAGATTCGTAATCCCAGCAATCTTAAGTGTGACAGAATTCGCCAAGGCCATGTGGCCATCCATCCTAATTAACCAAACCTACATGCATAAAAATTAAGATGATCACGTAAAAAATTGATGAACACAATATATAAGCAAATTTCATTTCTTACAGGATTGTGAGGAGAGATGTCATCAATCCATGTTGCAGAGGGCAATTCTCCACCCCAGAAATCATTGTTCCATCCACCACCCAGAATCCAGGAGCCATGTTTTGCAGCTGGTTATGTTTATCCAGAGGCATTCACAGATTACATTGTCTAATCAGTTTAGTACCCTGGACCTACTAAGAAAGCTACCGACTTAAACAGAAAAAATGCTCATTGCACTATGACTACATTGACCAGTAGATAGACCCCTGTAACTTAAAGAGTAGCACTAATATGATTTCTTTCCGGCTATGCACAATATTAAGTACTCTGATGAAATGAAAGAAGTTACTTTGCACTGCTTCCTTCACCCTCTTAACAAACTCATCCTTCTGATTTACCCCTCGAAGTTCAACCTGCACCATCTGCTTGCCACTAAAAGTACACAAATTCAGGCAGAAACTGAAAAAAACAAACAAGCTAAACAACATAGAATACTCAAGTCTAAATGTATCGAATCGAATGCTCAATTATCGTGCTAAATCCCTCCGTATCATCTACGCTCAGTCGAACTCGGAAATTTTGTCAGTATGAACAGAAAAAAAAACAAGAAACAAGTGTACAGCGTCATCACCTGCAATCCCCCGGCGATCAAGTGAACATGTGAATCAATAAATCCAGGCACCACAGCCTTCCCCTCCAAATTCACCTCCACAGTACCATCTCCCACCAAATCCTTCATATACGAGAACATTGATTATCAGTCTTCCGGGTCGCAGAAATGAGATATTTGAAGTAATTTGGCAATCTAAAAGTGGCATACAACCTTATACCAACTTGAAGAACTATCTTATGTTGGGGAAATGAAATTCAATACAGACCATGAAGGGCGAAAGCAGCATGAGTTGAACACCTCGGAATCCATTCTACAGATAAACTTGTAATTTTGCAATCTTATGATGTCCGGAACATTAATTGCCCCCTAAATCCGACCTCGCTATAGCTTGAAACGCGAAAAAGCAGAAAAAGAGTATACAGCAAAGTGAACCTGAATTGAAGAAAAGCTCCCGACTCGTAAAATCCTCCCATTTCGAATCGCCATGGAATCTGTGAACAGCAGAGCATCGTCGCTTGTGAAGATTGTTCCATTTCTCACTACCAAATCCGCCACCATCCTTGCCGGTGGAATCAGAGACTTCAGAGTTGACCAATCTGTGAGCACAAATCCGATCAATATCATTCAATTCAATCATCGGTCCCCAGAAACATGATCAAGCTCAACCACGATGACAAAACAAGCAAACGAACACGTAGAGAAGCTACGGAGCAATCGGAAGAAGCCAATAATTACAGAAATCATTAAGCCGAGGAAGAAATCCGGCGGAGATGAGGAGGACGGCGGCGGAGGAGACAGCAACGAAGAGATTCATCGTCGCCGGAGAACTTCCACGGAGTCAACAGCCGAACAGACACTCCACATTTTGCGCCGGAAAACGAGAAAAAGCAGCAAAAGGGGAAAGCAATTTCGGTTCGGTCAAAAAATGTAAAAAGACCGAACCGAACATAGCCTAACCAAAACCGGTTTAGAAACATCTTTAAACCGGAAAACATAACCAAAACAAAAGAATTTTCCCATTTCGATAACGATCTTGATTCTTGAACGCAAACCCGAATTCGAAATGTTGAAATCCAATCATGTACATCGATTGTAATTATATCATCACTAATAAATGCACAAAATAGAATCTAGTTAAAGCTGACGTGGAAATAATCACATCGTTACAAGCTAAAGCCATAGATTTCACTTCACATTACATACAAAGTTATTGACAGACTTCGAAAAAAAAAAAATCCATTTAGAGGTCGGACCACACACAAAACTCCACCCTCACAGATAAAGCTTCGGATCGGACAGCCTTGGCATAGGTAGAACCACGAGCGGATCCTTCAGACACAACGTCGGTCCGAATTTCTCTTCGACCACTAACCTTTGTCCGTCCGGAACCTTCCAATCAAACGAATGGAGGAGCGTCGCGAGATTGTACAAGATCATCCTCTCGGCCATAACTACGCCCGCGCACATTCTCCTCCCCGACCCGAACGGTAGATAACCGTAGTCATTTCCTTTGAAATCGTATGACTTGTCGAGAAATCTAGAAGGATTGAACTCTAACGGATCATGCCACAGACTCGGATCTCTATGAATTGCCCACACGTTGAAGGAGACCTTGCAATCTTTCGGGATGGTGTAGCCGGCGACGACGGTGGTTTCGCTCGGCCTGTGAGGGATAAGGAGAGGACTTGCCGGGTAAAGCCTAAGGGTTTCTTTCATTACGGCTAGTAAGTATGGGAACTTTCCGATGTGGGATTCTTCTACGATGTTGCCTTTGCTCACAACTTCGTCCACTTCTTGTTGAACTTTCTTCATCAACTCCGGCCTGTTTATAAGTTCGGCCATTGCGAATTCTATCGTGCTTGAAGATGTCTGCGTACCTCCAATCACCATGTCCTAAGAAAAAAAAAATTCAAATAGATTTTTGTGATATTTCCCTTATAGATTATATAATAAAACATTTCTATTATAATCCAGTTATATATATATATATATATATATATATATATTATAAAGAGAGAATGAATTATGTATAAGTGAATGTATTATGTACGTACCATAAGCACGGCCTTCACATTGTTGAGGGACAAAGGCGTAGTTTCATCTTCATCCTTCAGCTTCAACAAAAATTGCAAGAAATCCTCGCCGTCCCTTTCACCCTGTCCATCCATCCTCAGCCGTTGATCAATTACCCGATCAAAAATCCGGTCAAGCCGTTGGACCAGGCCACGCATCTGCTTAACCAGACCCTGAATATCGAACCGGCTTAAACCGGGAAAGAAATCCGAAATATTGGGTCGACCCACCAAATCCACGATCTCCGACAACAACTCCTTGAACTCAGATGCAACACTCTCCCTCTCTCCGCCCACGACCGTCGCACCCCACAGCATCTGTGTCATGACGTTTAGTAGCGTCAGAAATATCTGTTCTCCTAGGTTGACCGGCGACCCGACCTGGGCCCGACCCGACAAGTACCGGACCGTCTGGCGGACCTCGCGGCGGCGGAGGTCGTAGAAGGAATCCAACGTGGCGTTACTCAGCAGCCTGTGAACACAGACTTTCCTCAGCATCCGCCACTCTTGTCCGTACGGAGACCAAGCTAAGTTCAGACCCCCGTACGAGACGATCATGGCCGTGGCGGGGATGTCACGGTTGGCGAAAGTGACGTCATGGGTCTTCAGGATCTCACGCGCCACCGCCGGAGAAGTGACGACGACGGAGGTTTTGGCGCCGCTTCGGAGTTTGAAGACGGGACCGTACTTTTGGGCGAGATCCAGATGACCTCGAGGACCCGGCGGCAATGGCGGATGTTTAGGTTTAGTGTAAATCCGGATGAACCAAAGGCAAAGGACGGAAACTACAGTGATGAGAATCAAAACGGCGTCGCATGGCATGACTGCGACCTTTTGTGTCGGAGGAAAGAGGAGAGGACGTGAATCTCTCAGACTCCTTTTTGTTTTGTTTGATTCATTTTCGTAAAGATAAGTGTCCGAAGCGGATGTGACTCACGTGTCACATTAACAACTACGTCTAAGAAAAAGATAGAAAAATACTAAATAATTCAACGAAATAGATCATCGCCAGCTGGGTACAACTTTGGTCTGGTAATGAACACCATTTTCCCCTAATAGACTATTTTGCCCTCCGCATTCCTGTAATTACAGTTATGCCCTCAATTTTGCTGACAGACACTGCCCAGATAGTGGCTTTGCTCGCTCTAAAACAGCTTCCAAGAAACAGCTATGCCCTGAATTATCGGCGTGAATAAACGTTTCTTACAAATGTGCTATTAAACCTCAACAGTCAAACATCTATTTGCCTTGATTAAAAAAAAAAACAAGGCCGCACGAGCAAATAGCCATATTATTTCAGAAGTCAACACTGGCCAAACACAGTCTTGAAAAGGGAACCATCTGAATATGATCATCGAAACCCTACAAACACAACAAATATACATGTATCGTTACAAGATCGATTCCAAAGTCTATCGATGTTGACTAGTTCCCGTGTGGCGGAGGGCCTGGAGGCAAAGGAGGTGGCGGCATGCCGGGCTGGTTCCCATGTTGCTGCACATCAAAATAAACCGCGGTTCTAATGAGTTGTCGGGCCAGTTCCATGAAGTGTCGGATCTTATTTTTCAGCCATAACCAGTCACATTGGATGTAAATGCACTAGAAAGCTTGGGACATATACGACCATTCACATGTCTCGAGTAAATTAAGACATCCAAGTTACTAGAAAACCTGGGGAGGTATATATATTTACCTGTTGGTAAGTATTGTACCCCTGCATCATCGGCATCTGACCGCCTTGGGGACGGTTGTAGCCACCTCCCGGCGGATACATTTGAGGTCCACCCGTGTTTGGTGGTCCTTGGAGTCCTCCTGAGGGGTTACCAGGATTCATCCCCATAAAATGACCTTGAGGGTTTATTTGGTTCATGCCACTTTGCATTCCCTATTCCAGAAATGAAAAGTGGTTCACGTTTATCCCGTGCAGAGGAAAGTCTTAGCTAGAAGTATTCCGATACTTTATGCTTGCGTGTACTTCCATAAACACTGTCTTGAGGATTATTTTGTTGTCGAGCAACCAGAGACCATATAAATTTTGAAAAGAAATAGGGATTATACATAGTGACGTCTGTCCATACCATTGATCCTGGCATTTGATGGGACATAGGCATTGAGGAAGGTGGCATTGGCGAAGGCATACCATGAGGAGGCATCTGGGGAGGAGGTCGAGGAAGATGAGGATGAGAGAGCAAGGGGATATGAGATGGTGGAGGCTGAAGCTGTGGCATATTGGAAGGTGGCAATGGAGGCATTTGTTGTTGCTGCTGCATCGGCTGAGAGTTCTGTTGATATCCTTGTTGTGGACCGCTCGCACGAAGAGACGGGTGAGGACCAGGTGGCAGTGGAGGAGCCCCCAATGGCATCAAACCTGGAATTGGCTGTTTGTGTTCTCCTTGAGAAGATGCATCAAACGGCATTGCCACTCCAATTCCTGGGATGGTTCCCTCGTTTCGTGTCAGCCCAGGAACAAATGCTCCAGGAGTCTGTGGCAACTCAGGTGCTTGGAAATTACCAGGTAGGCGGTTGCCAAATGCCGGATTTTGTTCACCATAGCCTGATGGAAATGAATATAATTAATGCAAGGAAATAATAGAATCAATTATTTGAGAAAAGAAGCGCCCCCAGCTGTCTGGTAGCACTTTCAAACTGGAAGCTTACACGTAGCGGCACGAATAGAATAGCAAATAAACCCATATGGACAAGAGGATATTATTATACAAAAGTTAACATCCCCTCCATCCCAGAGCTTACCAACTTAAGATCAGATAATTAATTACAAATAACTATACCTTGGTTCTGCAGACTAGGAACATCGCGAGGGGTGTCTCCAGGCCTATTTCTGCACCAAAACTTTGTTGTGTGATCATTGCTGCCACTGCAGACGCGATCACAAGAAACAGAGAACGCGTGTAAGATTATTGATACACAGAAAATTTTCAAACTACGATCAATTCAAGAGCAAGATAATTCACATTACTAGGCACGGTAACCATTACCTGCAGAGAAGGTAACCAACAGGATGCCACGCGAGATCCCAAACACTATTATCATGAGCATTTGCGATTTCAACCTGTGGGTTCTCATGCCTGGGAATGATAATATATTCTTATAGTCAAACAACACGTCTTAGTTCAATTTACGGTCAATAAGATAACATGACTAAAAGAAAGAAAAGAAGAAAGATCCTCTGAAGGAGGTACATGCTTAATGAATTGTGCAGCACTAAAAAATAAAAAATAAAGCCACATTAAAATGGTCATAGTGATTTTTTTAAGAAAAAAGTGGCATTGATATCGACATGGTTCTTACCCGACAATCCAATGGAAAATGGATCCATCAAAACTCCCGCTAACAAAGTATTCTTCATGGAAGGGATGCCACGCCAAAGCTTAAAAAAGGTTTGAAACCATTTAATCCAGCATAGTTGATATATAACTAATGCCAAGGAAACAAAATTAAGAAAATCATTCATCGCTCACATCAATGTATATGACTAAGCCACCAATATAAAGAAGACCTTTTGAGCCTTATCTTTCAAAAGTCATAGTAGGTATAGAGAATAAAAGAGATTTCAGATGGCATTTTGTATTTTTCATCGTGTTAGATGCTCAGAAGCAAAGACAATTCTCTAAACATGGCACTGAATCTACCACATTTACATGTATCCCTAATGATAAGGCTTCAAACAGAAATTATAAGTGCAAAGATGAAAAACCTGATTCCGAACATTATACGACACTCCCACTCAATGTGAGATTAACACATGTACACGCTAATGGTAACACGCATGGCTTTTTCTCTTAAAAAAAAACAAAAACAAGATGCAGCAGCTAGCTTTTATTGCTTGGCACGTAAATTCTCTTACTACATCATACTTCTCAGAGTGAAAACATTCACAATTTTTTGGGGACAATGAACACGATGAGAATGATAGAGCTTAGTCAGCTTACACGTAATATCTTTCTTGTGTCCACGAAAGGATTCAAGCTCCTTCATAGCCCTTATGTCATACAGCTGTAGATTTAAGAAAACAGTGTCACCCATATCCATCCAGATTCCATAAAGAGAAACAAAAAAAAAACCAAAAAACTTAAAACAAACGATCCAATCTAGTTTATATATTAACAGATCCTGAGGAAAAGGGCGCCTGACCTTTATTATTTGATCTTTTGAAGCTGTTAGAAGCCAATTGCCGTTTTGGTTCCACTTCACACTAAGCACTATATTTTTGTGACCATGGCTACAAATACAAAAATAAAGTTTCAATATTCCAAAAAAGTTGTTAAGCAAAATAAGGCATTAATCAAAATCGCAATGCACTCACAATGAGCAAAGCTCTCTCCCACTTCTCGCATCCCAGAGTTTTACAAGCTGGTCTTTTCCACCTGGACAGTGCACATATAAAACATCTAAGACTCAATGCAAGTCACAGAAGATTTTCTGAAGCCAGCAACTGTTTTTATTATTCTACTTCAACAATCAAAACTGGATAATGTACCGGAAGCCAAAAGGGATTTTGTGGGGTGCCAGTCAACGCTCTTCACATCCCAACCATGGCCTGCCTGAGTTTAAAATATAAAGAACCATTTGATTATTTGATGTATCCTCAGAAAAATAAAATAAAAAAATATGAAAGAAATTATTTCATTCTTGAAAATCTCAAGAAACTTGTTCAAGCACCAAAGTGGAACACCTTAAATCAAAGATCTTTTCTGCAGACTAGAACTGGATCGTGTTTTAATATCACCTTTGAAAGTCATGCATGTAGCTTAATAGGTACTATTTAGAAAATGATCCAGACAAAACTACATCTCATATGGTCTTCTAAAATCCAGAAAAACAAAAAGTGCCAAACAAGCCAACAACCCCTTCCTAGGGGTGCAAATACCGGAGCCGAACCAAACCGAAAAAGACATAACCGTATCCGAACCGAACCCGACATCAAAACCGAACGGTTATGATTTACTTAAACCCGAAAAACCGAAACCGAAACCGAAACCGAACCGAACCGAACCGAATAAAAAATAACCGAAAAAACCGAGAGAATAACCGACATTTTCTTTGGAAAATTGAACTTTTTACCAAAACCGAACCGAATCCGAACCGAAAAATAACCGAACCGAACCGAACCGGAATTTATATAAAAACTGAATGGTTATAGTTTTTCTATAACCGAATATAACCGAACCGAACCCGAACCGAAATCCGAATTGGCCACCCCTCCCTTCCAATCTATCCAAATCACATTACCAGTTAATGAGCGTTCTTCTTGGCACCGTGCAAAATCCCAAACTTTAACAGTAGTATCATCAGAACACGAGCAGAACTTCAAATCTGTCTTACAGAAACTATTCGATAAACCTCATCAGAAGTTTATGTGATTTAGTTTGTTTCTTCCATAAATAAAACATTCTCTACCTTAAATCACGAATTGATTCCTTATGAGCAGTTTTGTTGGCCTTTACATTGTTCATGTTGTTCTGCCAATACCTAAAACAGAAACAGTAAACGATTACTATTCTCACTGCATGAAACTATAAGTGCATCATAAACTGAGATTCTCATCTGAGATATAGGAGTGGAAGGAGCACTACTTTATTGTCCCCCCGTCATCACCAGAGACCATCCAATTGTCATTATGACTCCATACCATCGATCTTATTGGCTGATCATGAGCCTGCAAATAGACAGAAGAATTCTAACAATCACGAATACAAGTAGGAGCTATAGAGGGAACCGAATCCAGTGCTTCATTATATTAATATATGCAATTCGATAATGCACCTGTAGAATCATCTCAAAATTGAAAGATTGCCCATTCCAAAGAGTAAACTCCCCACTTTGGGAACCTGTGATAAGACGTCTTCCAGAAGGAGTCCACTAAGAACAAAAGGCAAAGTCCGCAGGGCGGAGGTCATATTAACTTGGCATAACAGAGTTAAGTCAAATAAGATAAAAAAAGACAAGTTGGTTTCGGCCTCAGATAAAACAATCAATTCAAATTAAAAAAGAAATCACAAGTTACAACAAAAACAAAAAAAAAACAAAATCACGAATCCAATGCACTTTATGTTGCAGAAACTTACCAATACACGGTTGATTGAACAGCGGTTTTTGTTCATAGATGTGTGAACAAACTTTGCAGCAAAGCTTGTTGAAGGGTTATCAGAATAGGCGACTGGGGGCAGCACCTGAACCAAACAATAAAGAAGCCGGAACAATAAATTCTTAAAGCGTATTGACAATAGCATTCCTCAAATCCAGGATACACTGCAAAGTCAAAGTCCAGAAAGCCAAAGAAAACTAACATCCACTGCTGCAGCTGGGGTTGGTTGCAAAGCAGTCCTGTCCCTTGAATCTCGCTGCCATGTTCGAGCCTGATAACAAGCATATGTAGGCTGAAGACTTTAGAAAATTTTATCTACATTATTTCTTCTACAAGAAGTATATCCATCAATGTTTCGAGCAATGAATAAAAGAAATTATCCGGAGACATCATAGACATATTACTCAGTAAATCCATAAATATAAATATCAAGCTGAAAGCTTAAGGCAGACCACAGATTTACATCTCTAAAGAAAACAAAAGTAAAGTTGACCATGATCTAAGGGAGAGAGACACATTATTTACAAGAACCAAAGAAAGAAAGTCCAGTCACCGAGACTAACAAGATAAAAACTTGGGAAAATATGATATGGTGAATAGAACATCACTCCGACAACATACATCATGCTTTACCTGGATATATTTCACAACCGTGCTGGTATAATCCACAGCTTTTCTCTGCGTATGTTTTCGCATTCTCTTAGCTCCAAAACCATCTCCATGAGCTACAGCGCCACGTTTTTGTAAACAAACCAACAGAGACGTCAGGTCTAATCACCACCAATTATCTCACCCACCCAAAAACCGAAGTACCCCACCACTCCCAAGATCTAATCACACATCCTAGGAAAAATTCTATACAATTAAACCCACTTCCAGAAACAAAAACCAGCACAATTCCGACATGCCCTTCAGCCAATGCGAAACTGCAGGGACACCTAAACTCACCGTCGTACGGAGTTGGGCCTGAGGAATGGTGATAATCCTGATTGAGAGTGGTCGAAGAAGCTGAAGACTGCCGCATCATAGCAGGAGGCGGCATCGGTGGACCTCTGTTAAAATCGCCGCCGCCACCGGGATGTTGCTGCTGTTGCAGTGTCTGAGGCTGTTGGATCGATTCTCCGTACATCATTGTTCGAGGAATAAACCCCAAGTACGGAATCAAACCAAAAGGGTGGAATTAAAACCCTAAAACCTTCTCTGCGATTTCGGAGAAGAAAAAGCGACGGAAGGATTTGTTCTAAATCTTTGACTCCGTTGGAAAATGCTCGATCCAGGAGTTCCCGTATTGACCCGACCCGTTTATGTGCGGATTCAGATAAGGAGCTGGTGAATGGGCTTTTAGTTAAGCCCATTTACTAAAATATGGGCCTTTCAAAAGAAATACACAAGCCCTTTTGGTTTACTCGTTACTTTTTGAAATCATAAAATAAAATGAAATATAGCTATATCATATAATAATTGTCATACAAAAAAATAATATCATTAACACGTGTACTTCTGATTGGGATTATCAGCTATTATAATCGAATTCCTAAAATTTAAAATTAAATTAAATTACTTGATTAATTTAAACCAAGGACTCGGACTAATGGATAATGAGAATAATGATAAAACGTAAAGGATTAACAGGTTAATATAAATTAAACATCGCCTTCTGTAACAATTTTAATTAGGGGTTAAGAACAAAAAAAAAGATGCAAGAGATGTCGCCTTAGTAATGATAAGAGATTATAATATAGTTGGTGGAATATATAACCTTACATATTAATTATTTATTTTGACCAGACAACCTCAAGACAGATGGCTCTCCTCGAACCGAAATAAAGAAAAAGAAAAAGAGTAAACGCTATCATTACTCTTCCATTATTACATCATTAAAATTTAATAAATTAATAGCTTACCAAAATTACTGATTATTTTACGGGATTATATATATATATATATATATATATATATATATATATATATGTGTGTGTGTTACATAGAATCGATCATAATATGAACATGAATAATTGAATCCATAATAAGGTGGATCTGAATCAAAAAATACGATATTTTTCTAAACCTGAACCGTGTTAAATTTCCAAACGGTATTATTTTTAGAAAACCGAATTTTTCGAAAAAAATCGAATCAAATTTTAAAAAATTTCCAAAAATCGCATTTTTTAAAGGAAATCTATCCCTCTTTTTTAATAAAAAAAATCGAATCGAAATCCGAACCGAATATAATATAGAAATCGATTGTCTTGTAAAATCGAAAAAAATCAAACCGATGCATTTCTATATCGAAATCTAACCGATTCCCAAAACTTCCACCCTTATTCTATTATATTAGTCTGCGAATATTTATTTCGCTGCGAATAGAAATCTATAAAACATTTTTGTGTACATGTAATCTAATAACCTCTATCTTATATTTTAAAAAAAACGGTCTATCTATTTATAATATACACACACGTATTATATGATAACACCATCATCATTTGACTTGTGTGGTATGCCCTGCTAATTTTCTAATATTTATTACGTTTGAAAGTTAATAATTTGATAAATCCACGTGTGATAAATAAACAAACTGAATAAAAAAAAAACCAAAAAAATCAAAGACCAAAACGACAGCGTTTCAGCCATTAGAACTCGCATTTCTTCGCGAAGCTGAAACGGTCCCATTCCGAAAGCAGATGGATTATCCCAACAAAAAAAACAATTAAGGAATTTAAAAATAAAATTATATTAAAAGGGGAAAAACAATAATTAAAGAAAAATAAAAAGAAAACAAGGAAACAGAAAATTCCGTTGGCTTTATACCAAAGGCAAGGCAAATTCCAAAACAGCTCCCTCCTCAACATTTCCTCTGTCTTCATCACCTTCTTCTTCCTTTGCTCGTAACCGGAGGAAATCAATTATCTGGGAAAAGGGTTTCGGGATTTCTTCCCCGATTTTGACTGTGAAATCGAAATTAGCCGATTTCTTCGTCTGTTGATTTCAGCGTCCGACGATCAGCATCGCGCGTTTTCCTGTCCATCATCGTCCTCGATCGTCGTCGGGACCCTCGTTTTGATCAATCGGTTAGGAGATTTATTTTTGTTCTCTTCCCTATTGATCATTTCTTCGGATGTGCTTGCTTCGATTTTCCATTTCGCGTTTGATTTTAGGGTTTTAATTTTGTTGATTTAGCTGTCAATATTTGTTCTTTTTAAGGTTTTCTGAAACCCTAGGAATCATCGGAGTTTTTTGATACTGCCGTGTTTCGTGGATTGGATTCGATGGCCGGTTTGACTGAGAATAACATGGAATTCTCGGGGAAGACGAAATCGTCGGCCGTTTCGTCTAATTTCTTCAACCGGTCCCTGACGATACACGGGAGGCCGATGGAGTCAAACCCAAAATCTCACCATCACCTCAACCCGTCTCTCAATCGTACCACGTCCATTACCAAATTCTACAGCCCAATGGAATCGATGGGGAATTCTCTCAAAGGAAAAGTCAAGAGCCTCTGTAAATTATTCGAAGGCTCAAGATCCTCGAAATCGAGCTCAACAAAGTCAGAATCAACGCTTGCAAAGACGAAATCTGGGAAAATGCAGGCATCCGATTCACGAATGTCCCCATTTTTCAGCTCAAACAGCTCTTTGATTCGTCTTCCGGGAACAGAGGATAGGATCGTGGTGTATTTCACTAGTTTACGAGGGATTAGGCGGACTTACGAGGATTGTTATGCTGTGCGGATGATATTTAGAGGGTTTAGGGTTTGGGTCGATGAGCGCGATGTCTCCATGGATTCTGCATATAGGAAAGAGTTGCAGAACGTGTTGGGGGAGAAGAATGTGACATTGCCTCAGGTGTTCATTAGAGGGAAGTATGTGGGCGGTGCTGATGTGATCAAGAGCTTATTCGAGATTGGAGAGCTCGCCAAGGTCCTTGAAGGGTTCCCAGTTAGACAACCCGGGTTCGTGTGTCAAAGTTGCGGGGACATTAGATTCATACCGTGCTTGAACTGTAGCGGGAGCAAGAAATTGTTCGACGAGGACGAAGATATGATCAAGAGATGTCCGGAATGCAATGAGAATGGATTGATACGATGTCCGGATTGCTACACTTAGAGGAACCAACCGAGGAAAAAAAACTCCAAAAAAATTGAAAAAGACAAAAAAAAAAGGTGTGTTTTTTTTTTCTTCCTTTTATGTATTGTCTCACTGTCTGCAACTGTGTCGAGGCCGGAATCCAAAACACTCTTTTGGATCCACAGCGTTTTCGCTATCCCTTTCATCGCGGTATGGGACCGGTGATGATCAGGGGCTTAGATTTTCAGCTATGGCTATGAAGCTGTTAAGGAAGTGTAGAAGTATGGAAATCAAAATGCCGAAATGGGTTAGTAAGCATTTTGTGTTTCAGTGATTGTGCGTGTCAATGTTGTGAAGCGGAAGACAACTGGGTTCTTTCTGCACTCGATTTGTAAATATTAGCGTGCTTTAATGAATTTGCTGCTAATATATGGTTTTGATGTCATTAAGAAAAGTAATTTGGGGTGTTTTTTTTTTTTTTTTTTTTATGCCCACTCGGATTCTAACCTAATAATATCAACCACGTCTGTATAAAATTGAATGATTTATATTTTTAAATCTGGCTTCAAATTAATATATAAATAAAAGCACAACATATTTATGAATCACTTACTATTTGTGTAGTCTTTAGATTTTCTTTTTATTTTCATGTAATGATGTGGATATATAGATTGTTAGGGCAATTTGAAAACGATAGTGTTCTTTAGCTTAATCTAATAAATTAGACGCGCATGGATAATCGAACAAACCAGATTTCAGGCATATGAGAACTACTTTTATAGCTATTCATGATATTTGTAAAAAATATTTAAAATATGTTTAAGCAGAGGATCTTTTTAATCGGTTGTTTCTTCGAATGATGGTAGCTTTCACCTTCACAACTTTCTTCCTGTGTAATTATGTGCACTTGTGGTTGGTACAACAATAATAACAATAATAATAAACCTTTTCATTAAAATAACATAGTTAGATGTTGCCGACGGAATTTGCAATTTCAAAAAAAAAAAAAAATATGGCCAATGAGCCTACTTTGTCCGAAAATGGAAAATATATTTTAAAAAATCTCAATTTGTTGCAAAAAAAATTGACCCTTTTAATACAATAACTGATATTTAATCATAAAATATAGAAATTTTGGCTCAAACCATATAAATATAATTGCGATAAATGAATTGAATTACCAGTGAAATTTTTACACATATCTGTAATTTCTAAAAAAGGTGACGAGTGGTTGTAGGAAAAGAAAAACAATAATTAGTGTTAGAAACATAATCATAACAACACCCAAAGACAATCATTACAGCTTATGTGTGCACGCCCAACTGCAAACTCCATTCGGTAACCGCAAATCCCCAAATATGTATATATATATATATATATATATATATATATATATATTATTTTCAAATAGATAACAATTAGGGTTTAATCAAGGGGAAACATCGGCGAAAATCAAGGGGGCAAAAAATTACTTTCCTCTTAAAAAATTCAGCCCACATAGTTTATCGTTGCGTGAAATTTACCCGATTATGACATTTATAATCGATTTGAGATTCATGTTCTGTTGATAAAATTTCTAAAAAATAATGTTTAATGTTCATTTTAGTTCTTTTTATATTTAAAAAATATATTAAGCTCTCAACTAATTCTTATTTTGATGATACTATTTTTAAAAATATTGTAAAATTTGATTTAAGAAAAATATATTAAAATAGATTCCCCGTTCAAATTCAGTTGGTATTTAATTATTGAATTATAACTGACAGAATTCATCTCATTTCTTTTTTTTTTTACCATGAGCAACAAATGACATCGGTCTGTCTCTCCCTACTACTATGGTTCTAATCGAACATTTTTAATGAAGATAGAACAAATAAAAAAAAAATTTATCAATTGAATCCAACCCAAATCCAAACTAAAACAAACCCGAATTGAACCAAACCAAATTTAATATAAAAACCGGAATGGTTATAGTTTTTCTAAAATCAAAATAACCGAAACAAACCCAAATCTAAACCGAAAACGAACCACCTCGGGCTCTCGGACCTTTGCATTCCCCAAGAAATAAGCATCACTTTGGTAGACTCTCAATGAACAAGAAGAAGGAACAGAGCAGAAGGTAACTTCTTCATGCTCTTGAAGTTGATCAACAACTCTCATCTCAATCTCCAATCCAATGGAACACACAAACCCGGGTTTTTTTTCCCGTGAGATCAACAAAAAAAAAGTTAACAGAGAGAAGAGAATGTTCTTCGGGTTTTACATACCCGAAAAGACGAGAAAGGGTTAGCAAGAGGAGGAAGCTATTGGGTGAGGGGGACACACTCGAGCTCGATCTCAAGAACACCTCTCTCGACATTCTGAAGCCTAAGGGATATGTCCTGTTTCACTTTCCCTTCTACCAGGGAGATTATGCCGTCGGTCACGAGCGTGTTCTCCTTGCTCGCCACCCAGCTCCCTAGCTGCATCGATTCCTTTATATCCGACGTCTCGTAAGCTTTCGCTGCACTCACCAATGGCTGGATGTCGATCTCAGCCTCTCCCATGAAGTCGTCCGTTGAGAACGTGTCCTTGTCGTACACAAGCTGCCATATCGTAACTAATCCTTAGAACCTTAGAACATGCAATACCATATGTCTTTTCCGTACAGATGCGTCGAGGTTTTTGGTTTCGGAGATGCGAAAAAGACGGCTTTTTGTGAGGAAGAAAGCATATGAAGACGGTTCTTGAAGGAAAAGATTCGCATAAGTGAGCGGATAGGTACCGTTCTTGAAAACCGAGTTAGAGCTTACCACTTTGAGAGGGGGGATGTGATCGGGGATCGAAAGCATTAGCGTCTCGTTCCACACCGGGTTCAAGTTGTTCTTTATGACCCGAGTCTTCACCGACTGTGGAAAACCCGAGAAAATTTCAGTTAACTATTAACGGAAAAACAACGAGAAAGCAGATGATAAGGAAAGACGTGTCTCACTTGTTGACCAAGGGCGAGGATTACATAAGGATCGCTGGTCATCACGTCCCGTACGGCAAGGTTAGTGCCTTTTACCACATTAACCTTAATCAATCCGACGAATTCGACCATACCTGCCTATACATGGAACAGTTAAAGAGGAATCATGTAAAAAGTTAACGGTCTAGACAACCTCGAAACTTGTAAGAGAACGGTCGGTTACCAAGGAGTGGCTCTTCTTAGGGCACTTGTGATCAGATTCCCTTCTTACCCAGCTATTCCGGAAGGCATGGCTAATGCGGGTTTTCGCAGAACGGTGACTTGCCGAAGAACTCAACGAGGATGATGAAGTTCTTCTTCCAGGATGGTATGGGCATGACCCGCCATCCTTAGGGTCCATAAACTGCTGCAGCTCGTATTTTCGTCTGCATATTCCAGAGGAAAGATTTATCCAAAACAGCTAAAAATATGGTACTGATTCCTATGATTTTAGCATCTTTTTACCTGATGAAATCGGACCGTTCCTCGATATGTGAATCTGGTTTCGGTTTCTTGATGTTGTCGGGGACGCAAGCTTCATACTTTTTGTTAACGGCTATGTTTCCTCCCAACCCCATGAGCATATCGACTTGTTCATCCGTCCACTCATCTAATTTTACAGATAGGACCTGCAACCGAATCGATGCAGACGCTGGACTGAAACGAGAAATCAGAAGAACAATCGATCGATGCTCAAGAAGATGATGTAACCTTTGTTATATGAACCCCGAGACTTCTGTGTACACCGGAACACTTTATGCATATAAACACCCCGAGACTTAATGATCTGAAATCCACCAAAAGCATCAGCCAGTCCAGCAATGGCCATGCCTGAGTGAAAAACCGATATATATGCACACACATACGAACGTATTTACGCAGACATTTCAGACAAAATTGACACTTACACCCATTTCGGGTCGGGAGATCCACAGTCTGCACAGTACTTGTTTCCACATTGTCTCATCATATTCTCCAACTTATCCCTGGGATCTGAGACGAACAAAGTTTCAAAATTTCCCGGCCAAATAGCTTCAAAGTGAAAGCAGTGTAGAATTTTCCGGGAGAATCTTGATCTGAACAAGAAAATTACCACAACGAGATGCGTGCAAATCCTTCTGAGGATCCCACCTTGGTGTCTCCGAAAACAAAAGATCGTACAAGCAAGTATCTGAACCTATGCTCGAGCCTATGCATACAACCAAAACGTTCACAAACATGTCAACACACGTGCCGAATTATGCATCGGAATGTCGTTCTATTGTCGCAAAATATGGATCAGACATTACCAGAAACTTCGACGGGATCGAAAACTTCTTGTCCGCAAGACATTTCAAGCCTCCAAATAATCACAAACCCGGAAAACAAGAACACAGCTATACCCTGAAAGCGCCGTCCATTCAGGCGGGTTTGCCCGATCGGACATCAAAACTTTACGACATTTCCTGAAAAAATGGAAAGAACAACGGAAAGCAATAATCAAATTATGAAATTGGATTATTAAATTGGATTGCCGCAAGGAAACAATAAATCAAATAGGAGAAAAGATTTAAGGGTTTCTGGAAGATTAAATCCTCTGATTTTGGTGAATACCGAATTCAAGGAAGGGCCGAGAACAGAAATCCAAACCCATCATTAAGCCTCCTGCAAGTGACTTTCCAATAATAAGAATCCCTCGAATTTCCAGAAGCGAAGAACAGGGAGGGAAATTTTTTTGTATATTGGCGTAAATACCGGGGAGAAAAACAGCCCAAATTCAACGCAGATCGAAAGGAATCGCGGGGGAAAGATCAAGGAGTCGAATTCTAGGAGCCTTGTCGGAAAATTTACGTATCTCCCGACAATGAGATGGAAACATATGTACGTACGTGGGTGGGGTTTTTTCGGGGAGAAAGACGAGAAGGGAGAGATTTCTCTGTGGACAATGTGACTAGCACGTTCGGAGACCGAGTTGTGAGATTTTTCTTGGTTTCTTGCGGGCGAAAATGGAGATCTTCTTTTGTCTCTTCTCCACCATTTTTAAATTTGGACGAAAGTGTAAAATCCGTTTAGTAGTTCAACAAAAATCAAACCATGACTTTTTTTCCTCTGGCGACAGGTTCTAATTATAAAAAGATATTTAATTATTCATTAAACAAAAAAAAACATATATTTTTTTTATAATTAGTAAACATAATATATCACCTATTTAGTTGATACGTAATTTGCCTAAAACATATTTTTTAAATTTGATATTTTCCTGCACACTAATATACACGAGTTTTGATTGATTTTTTTTTTAAAAAAAAATCGTATATACAGATGAAAAGTTAGTTTTTCTATACTTTTCCTTTTTAATTTTATGCCTTTTCCCCCCACAAACTATTTTTATAACAGCAAGGGGCATATAAAAAAAATATTGATTTCGTATTTAGTAAACTACAAGAACAATATACTAAATTTTTTGAAAATGATAAAAATATAAAACAAAAAAAATATACCAATAATTTTTAAAGAGTCAAAGAACAGATTTTGAGAGTTCTAATGTTTTTTTTTTTGCACTTTAAAAAAAGTGAGTATATTTGCAAAATAATAGGATTTTTCATTTCAATTTTCTTCGATTTCAGAATGGTTTTTGATATTCGATGATTTCCAGTTCTCTTAATTCTACTTGATCAAACAAAACATTGTTCATGTTTAAGGAGGAAGAAGAAGCAGATATAATATTAGACAGATTCAAGAACACTATATGATGACGTAGGATGACCTGGCCATAGTTTCGATATAATATTAGGATTTAGGACACATTGACAAAGCAACAAGAGTTTGCTTTTTTGTACCCTTACAAAAACAACACGTGATTTAAAAAAAGAAAGAAAGAAAGACTAGACCAGATATAGCCATAGATATAATAAACTTAAATATATATTTCTCCAATTGAATGATGGCAGATCTTTCAAAGAATGCATCACTGATCTTTCCAGATTCTTCCGGTGACGCGAAGCTTCAGTTCTTTCCGGTCGCCGCCAGAGAAGAAAAGGGCCATATTCCGTTGGATGATAAGGCCGTCGAAACTGTCTCGGACTTTCCGGTGACTATCTCGTATGCTCCGGGGAATGCCTTGCCATATCATCTTCCTCTCATTACCGCCCACTTCGAGGCTGTACCTGTAGTTCTTAGCTTCATCTTCGTCGCCCATGAACCGTAGGAATGCTATGTAGACCGGAGCCATCCCGAGCTGGAAGGCTTCGAAATGGAGGCAGAAGTATTGGCCAAAGCAGCTGAAAACCTGTGGAATTATATTCACAATGCCATGATGGTTGAAGCAAATAACAAGTTTTGGAAAGCAGCTGGATGAGGTTTACTAACTGTATTCGTCAGTAGTCTATAGGGAAAAAACAGTTGAACTCGATGGACTAAACTAAACAGAACCACCCAGATATCTAATTCCAACTGCATACCACAATGCCCTTTTCGGCTCTTAGCTTTACAGTCGTACCTTGAAATATCAACACTGGATATCAGTAAGAACCCATGTTAACTGGGGCTTGGAGAGAGTTTTAAACTAACTAGGGTGATGGGGTTGCCATTAACACTAGTAACCATCAGATAAACCCTATGGTCAAGTCAATATATTGAAACAGCAATCCCAATGGTATTACTGTGGAAGGAAAATCGGAATGAATAGATTTGGAAACATTTATAACATACCGTCAACATCCATGTTGCATTCTCAACTTCATGAGGATTTGCCTTGACATATCGATGGTTGAAGGTGCTCCCATTGTGCATATCAACTTTGTGATCATCTTTCAGATGAGCTACGAGATAAGGAATGTCGCCAACAACTGAACATTCTGACCCGGCATAAGGACAACTGTATGGTCTGAAAACACATTGGGATTCATGTTTCAGCTTGCTGTAATAAGGGTATATCCCCATACACCCAAAACTCTGATATTTGCATGGAAGCTCAAGAGATGCTGCCACTTTCTCCAAAGCAAGGCATCTAATGTTTCCAAGTTCATGTCTACAAGTAGGGCATCGGTTGTGAACCCTCGGTTTACAACCTGAACAAATGGTATGCCCATTTGAACACTGCAAAAGCAAAGACTGCTAAGTACAATGTTTTCAGAATAAATGGCATAACGTAAAGCTAAACGAAATAATGAACTCGTGGCATATAATAGTTGTTAAATTCACAAGAAAGCTTTTGAGCATACCTGATGAATCGGTGGGTACATGGCATTTAAGCACACAGGACACTCTAACAGTTCACGAACACTACTAGAGATGGTCAGATTAGGCTTCACAGAAGATTGAGCAGGGTCAATTGAGTGATCACCAATGCCCATCACCTCCTCAACTTGTTGGGTATGAACAACCTCCGGTTTCAAGCGAAGATCATCAAAAAAGGGATTTGCGGATGCCATGTTGACAAGGCTAGCCAGAGCAAACGAAAGAGAGAACTCAATGGTCCAGTTACCAAATTCGGCAAAATACAGAGAACTACAGCCTTCTGAACGAGAGTCGATTTTGCCAAGAATAATCCTAGTTCTGCATTCCTTGAGAGTGAAAGTATATGTACAAGTACAGTATTCACAATTCATGAGGATTCTTAATCTAACAAGGAGTCCAAGTACAGTATTCATAATTCATGAGGATTCTTAATCTAACAAGGAGTCCTAATCTAACAAGGAATTCCAATCCTGATGCTGATCCTGACTGTAACCCTAATACTTATCCTCCTAAGACCAGAAGATGCCTCATACAAGCCTAAAACACACAAATTTCTCTAATGAGCTCGACAGACTGAATACAACGAACAGCTAATGATAAATCCAACAAAGGAAAACCAAACGCATCTCCGAAAGTCCTACCAACAAATCCAGCGATGTATTTGTCTTCTTCTCCTTTTTTCCTTCAGTCAAGTGCAAAGGCAGCAACTTTGCGTTATCTACAGTAGACAGATACACAATCAAAACCCATCCACTACCAATATCGAAGCAAAATAACTGAGACAAAGCAGCTAAATCGGGATCGTAGTTAAAACATGGAACACGGAAACTAATCATCGTCAATTTTCAGAATCGAACGTTCAAATTACCAAGCAAAAACCCTAAGTCAAAAATAGCCACCTGGAAACCAACCACAGGAAAGAAAAAATCTGGCACGGATCCAGAAACACGGAAACGCCAACTTGCATAGAAAGTTAGAAACCCAGAAAATTCAGAAGAAAAATGCTCGAACCTATGAGTGATTCATGCGCCGATAGAAATTCGCAGACACCGTTTTCGGCCAAGGTCTGAGGGGACTCGGAGAGCGGCAGAGAGGCTGGACCTGGAAGGGGAGAGAGAGAATTTCAAAAAATAAGAGAGAGAAACTTTATCGGGAAACAAACAAAAAGGAAAAGTTAATGTAGGGGCCTTCCATGGTCATGTTTCGGGTGACGTAATAAAACCTCGGGTCGGGTCCGGTTTGACCGGGTCGGATATTAAATTGGTTAAGAAATAAGAATTAAACCCAATTATGGGGAAAGTGGTGGGTGGGTTACGCAATTTCTCTCTTATCGGATTCTGAGGTTCGAAACTAAAACGTTTACGGGTGTCAATTTAGATCCGAAACACAAAATCCGATCCGAAACCATCTAAAAAATATCAGGTTTCGGATCTAATCGTCCCCAAAAAATCGGGTATATTAAGACAACATGTTTCGTGCCATGAAAAGTATGAACACATGACAAAAAGGCAGACAATGATATCTCATTTCCTAAAGGCAGACCATTGGAAAATATTAGCAAGTAAAAGACATTAAAAGCACTAACATTTAATGTCGGGAACTCGTCCGCGGCAGCAATTTGTACAAAGCGGACTTGAAAAACGTTACACAGACACGGACAAGACATGAATTTACACGAACACTACCACCTACCTAAATCGCCATGGCCAACGACCTTCATGTTAGTTAAAAAAACTAGCAACTAAATCTAGAGAGAGGTTCTGTTGGGATCGGATTCAGACAACATCGTTGCCATCTCCTGATTCTTGCTTCTCTGTCGGAGAAGGCAAGGCTGGGCAGCCGAAGTTGGTTGGGGCGTGAGGGCCGATCAGCTGAATCGCTGCGTTATCATAAGCGAGGGCGGCTTCCTCGGCGGTGTTAAAAGTGCCCAACCAAAGACGATCGGACCGTCCTCTAGTATGGCGCGACCGACCACACCTGATCTCGGCTGCCCATTTCCCCCACGGTCTCTGCCTCACGCCACGGAACTTCTTCCTCTCTGCTGCCACATCATCCAAGAATGCCGA